GAATGCGAACCAAATCAAATTATACACACGCATACGGGCAGACGCGTATGTACATGTTTGACAAACTGACGGATAACACGAAATAACCGATTGGAGATAAAAATTGTCTATCAAAAAGGACGTTTGATGCTGACTGTCAATATCGTTCCGGTGATAGTACGAGAACAATACACGCGTGGGAAGAATTGTGACAAACCGGTGACGAACACAATTGTTGACAAGCAGAGAAACGGTGCAGTGCAAGATTGTTACAGATAGCCGGGACGGTTAGTTAATCGACTCATCAGCCACACGAGAACTAACAAAAAAGGGCATGTGGCAAGAGGAATCATGCAGCTAGCACACTCCACCCTTAATGTTGTTTCCAAGATGACGAATAAATAAACAAATAAATTTTCAAATAATGTCGAGATCACATTTAGTTGGTAAGTTCTAGCATTTTCACGATTTTTTCGAATCATTTTGTCAATAGAAGGATGATTCGGTTTTGTACCTGCCTCGTTGAGTTATTACGAGCGCCTAGACTACCGTGGAGCTGTCTGTATGCATGGCTGAGAATAAAGTAGGTATTTACTGAATACATAATGATACAATTTTCAGGGAGGAGGAAGAAGTGGCCAATCAAAGGATTGTCATTCAACACAACTGGGGAAAGTCAGGCTGTGGTGGTGGTGAGATTCGAACACACACACACACACACACACGATCCATCCCCTAAACCGCGTATTCTCTCTATCTCTACTAGACTTCAGGGTATTCCCAACCCCATGGAAAATATCAGAAATATTCCCCATCTCTAACATCACTTACTTCAAACGTTGTGGAATAAATTTTTTTTTAATGTCTTTTAACTTCCTTTTTCATTTATTGAATATACAAATGTACAGTCAACTTTCAGGAAGGGGGCCGCGGCCATATCAAGGCTGTCTGGGATCATTGCATTGATCATTATTGACCAATTCCGCCGCCACCTGGAGCAAAACGAGATGCTTAGCGACCGCCAGTACGGTTTCCGGCCCTATCGACCTTCGGCGCTTGTTTGGCATACATGGTCAGCAAAACTTGACAACCACAGAGAAACCCATATAGTGGCATTGGATACATCAAAAACTATCGATCGCTTTTGGCACACCAGCCTGCTATCTAAAATACCCTCTTTCGGCTTTCCTTCGAAACTTGAGTCCTGGATAGCAACCTATCTTAAAAACCGTGGCGTCTCCGTTCGAGTAGATGGGACTATGTCTCGTTCCGTGCCTGTGAATGTTGGCATCCCCCAAGATTCGATTTTTTTTTCCGTTCCCTTGTTCTGATGTTCACTGATGACCTCCCGATCAACTTCAAATCCTACTTATGCCTTTGCCAATGGCACTACCCGACACTCCTCCTTGTCCTAATCCTCTTCACGCATCGCCAACTTCAGCATTACCGTTCCTCCCTCAGTTTCTCCCTAAATTCTGATTTGGACCATATTTCTGTTTGGATCTGACGCAACCGTATTCTCGTTAATGCCAGTAAAACTTTCTTTGTGATCATTTCTCTCAAACACTAATTTTTCTCGCTTTCATCACACATTCTCCGTTCCACAGATTCATGTAACCTATTGAAACAGTCCTTATTTTCTTCCCTTCTATGGTCGCCTAGCATTTATCTGCTTGCCTATCTGACTGCGCACAAAATTGGCTTCCTCTGCAGCGCAAAATGTCTCTTTACCTCAGTTCATCTTCTCTCGCTTTACAAAGCTCAGATTTGTCCTACACCCGAATACTGCAGTCATGTATTGGGTGAAGCATCATCCACCTCCCTAACTCTTCTTTATCAGGTTCAGTGTAAGGCTATTCGTCTAATCAACGAGCCCTCTCTAACATGTAACTCAAAGTCACTTCCTTCACCGTTATTGTATCTATACTATGCAGGATTTTGCTCTAGTGAACTCGCGGCCTCTGGCCCTCTCCCCTTGTTTCTTCCTTGTAGATCCCGCACACAAGCAGCTAGTCATCCATTTCAAGTGGCTATCCTCAGGTGTCGCATTTCCAACTTTCAATCATTCCCTCCCCCAAGAACAGCACAACTGTGGAACACCCTCCCCCTTTCAGTCTTCCCTCCAACTTAGAACGTCCTTATCTTTAGATGCAGAATCAATAAGCTGGTTTTAGCTGGAATGTTCCATTTACCATCCCGTGTACAGTATATTTTTGGATTATGCGGTTAACCCCTTTTACTGTATATACTTGTGTACTAAAAAAAAATACGTTCTTGGTCTAGGGCGTTTTCGCTAGAAAAGAAAGAAGCAAAAAGAAGGCCGGAGGCGAAGTAAGAACTTACTTTTACTACACCTGATGCGGCAAGTCTGAAATTTTGTTTGCGTATTCCTGCGCATTCGGTTTATAATTAATCGCATCATCTTATTCTTAACTAAAGGCGATTCTTCTCTAACCACCATCAGATGAGATGCTATATCGGACAAAAGTCATTACTAACCACCCTAAATTCGCCCTCAAATTGAAATCATTGATGTTCCCTAGGGCTCACTCGCCTGAAATTAAATCAAAACTTGTTTTTGGTTCACATACCCCGTTTTGTTTCAACTGACAATCATTCGCTTCAATAAATCTATACTGCGGATCAGGTTAGTGACACAGTGAATAATAATAATAATAATAATAATAATAATAATAATTCTAATTGTTGTTTGGCAGATTTGAAGTTTGTATGACGAGATTGTGAAAAGTTCAGTAGCCTCGGTGGGATTCGAACCCATGCATGGACGCCGTCTACGCTTTGTACGCGCATGCTCTACCAGCTGAGCTACGAGGCCACACCGATAGCACTGATCTTTTTCACATTCGAATTTACACATCCAACTTACAGAGGCATGTGGCACCCACCAGTTAGCATGTAAGCTGACTGCCCTGACAGGTTTTTCTTACAATTCACCGGAGTCTTTTCTGTCGTACTGAAACGATTTTTGTTGAAACTGGAAGAGTATGCACTCTGTGGATAAAAACTCTGGTCGAGGGAATAAGAAGTGAGGGAAGACTGCTGTCAAACCGTTATCCTGGAAAACCAAAGACAACAATGGACTGAACGCTTTGTTCGTGAAGTAAGTTATGGGAGTTGGAAACGGAAGGCGATGATGACAAGGGATCAGATTGTTTTGCAGATAGAAGAAACAACCAACAAATAAACCTTTGATGGGAACAACCTCAATGTTGTATTTATTTATCATCCTAACGACTGCCTACCTCCATACCCAACCGATTACTTATCTACGGTAGACCCGGTCTCCCATGATGCGGTATTTCATCTTCGTAGAGCTACGAAATTAGTGAATGAAGTGAACCCAAGGGGTCTGTTCTCATCCGTGCTCAAATATGTTCCTCACAATTAAATCCAGGCACACATATTCAATCCTTTATTCATGGAGACCTTCCATCATTGTCCCCATTTCTAAATACTAATCTAGTATTCTATCTATCTTTCTATCCAACTGCAACCAGATAATCTGAGTTTCAACTAACAGAGAGTACTGCTATCACCCGCTGGAGCATTGTTGTTTTCATTGACACCCTTCAATTAAAGTATGAGCCAAATAGATGCACGGTGGACGTTGTCTGTTCACGGATGAAGTCAATTCATAATTCGTTCATAGACAGAGGCCAAAAATATATTTCTTATTTTTTTCTCGATTATTATACAGCGTTCCGTTTCATTCTACGATCTCTTTTCCGAAATTTACGGCCATTTGGTTGCCGCATTACGTCACTGACTTGTTTCGGAAAACTATTTCTCAGGATGGATTCAAACAACCGAAGTAAACGTAACTGTCTTGAAACCGCTAGCTATCAACATGTGAGTCTCTCGAGATGGTGTGCTTTGGCCATACTTGTTTGTAACACTTCTAAGTGACACACATTTATCCCTCTAATCCAAATCTTCATAATTGCCAATATAGTTTCACGACAAGCTGTCTCAAAATGGTCGCATATGAATGACACACGAGTTTCTCACAAGCCGAAGCCTTTAGTTCTAACAAAAACCTAACCGAAAGGCAACGGGTGAAGCGAAGCGGGGGCCCATTTACTTGGATCAAATACTCCTCCACTATTTTGTACCGACTGAAACGTAAATTCTAGTCAAACCCCCAACCTGGAGGACCAGGAGACTGAACTTCGTCTGACCTCTACCCTTCGACCTTCCAGGCATGATTAGATCTTCAGCTTGACAAAAGCCATCGGTGTGTAGCTCGTTGGGTTAGAGAGGTGCACAAGTCATCGTCAACGCGCATTCTCGTAGTGATCTCACCAGCAGTGCGACCCTATCTACTGAAACGAGGCTCGAACCCGAGACCAGCTAGGTAGAACGCAGGTATACTACCCACTTGACCTCCGGGTAGCTGATCAGATCGTTTCTTACTTTGCCTTTATACGACACAGCACAACTCATCTTTGCAAGCTCGTCACAGATATCAAACCTCGCTCATCTCAGGGTTATGACTCGATCGAAGAGTAGATGAACAGTTTATCACATGCAAACGAACACGAACTTTCGTCAATATTAGTCTCCAATGGGTGCATTGTCTGCACTCAATCTAGTTCGGGCTTGTAGTTAGTTGAAAATACACCCNCCCGGTGGGGATAGGTTGAACTATGATGATGTTGTATATGATTGGCAAAGCAGAGCTGGGGTTCGCAACCGCTGAATTTGTATTCCCGTTCTTTCAGACAAAATTATAAATTAGGGAAAGATCAAACGTAATTCGAGAAAATAAATGCGTTATCCGCCAATAGTACTTTATTCCAAATGACTCTATGGAAATAAAAAGTATAACTCAATGAAAGTACACCTAAAATGTTGACATATAAATGCGGATTGAAGCGCGAATATGAACACAGTAAAAAGTGCAAGCAGAAAATTCCATTATAGAAACATGCACACTTTGAAGAGACCTTCCCCACCCGCACCCACCCCTCTTACCCCAACCGCACAATATAACGACTTACGGGAGAGAACAGACCGGGTGCTCGATCCCGCTGAAGCCAACGTTTAACACAGAGGACGCATGCATTGCACAAATCCCCGGATCTTGCGCTCGCAGCTGGGCCAAAACAATCGCGAAAGTGTTCGGAATAGCGTTCGCTTAGTATAAATCTGGACGAGGATGATTTAGTCCCGCATATACAACAACCGGACTGACTACGGAAATGCGCCCGGCCTGAACCGGAACTGCTGCTTGTATTCCCACCGGCCATTTTCGGGCGAGACGAGAGGGGATGAACAAGAATAACCACAACAACCGCTTTATTGCACACCAAATGAAAGTGAAGCTGATTTTGGTCAAGCGCACGCACGTCCCACGGTCGATGTCGTGACACGGGACACGACAAACGAGAACCGTCACACACACAGAACGCTGCGACCGAAGGCACCGACCAATTGAACTACAGGCGAATAAGGCTGAAAGACGGACAAAATCGAGTGGGGGGTTTAGTATGGAACTCCAGTACAAATGATGCGCTTATTTCGATGCAATAAAAGAATTCGTTGGGCAATCTGGATTTCAATCCGTGAAATACTTTTTTATTACACACCTGCGTGTGATGAACAGCAAACGGGGCGAATCCCATAGTCACGAGGACCTGCTTTTCAGTGATTCATTCTAGTTAACGACATCTGATCAGTGTTTCAATGAATAGTGAAAAAGCACTGCAAAGTGTACTCGAAGATTGATACATAATTCTGTCGTGAAGTACAAATATATTCATTCAAATACGGGAACCACGTTTTTCTGTGAGTTTCCGTTACTTGAATGTCGAAAAGGTTCTGGGGTCTAAACGCCATTTGTTGAAGGCAATCAATCTGGACACAGGAGACAGTAGCTAAATTCCATAGGCTATGTAGGTGTAAAAACAGGTGTAAAACAGGGTAACTAATAAAACAAAAAGTATATATATATATTATATATTTTCACACACGTCTGAATCCAGACTGTGTGCCAAACAAATCATGGCACAATAATCTTTATGAAAAAAAAAGAAAAACGCTCCATGATCTGCACATGGGCTGAATACTGCCCGGTTGCCCTGGTCAAGGCAGGTGAACTTTCTTGAGGAATCCACAACTGGAAACTTTGGCTAGCCAAAGCCTGACCCGCCAAACAGCGGGGCGGTGTGTGAAATCCGCAATCCGTTGGGGGTGGTGTCCAGTTCAGCGGACCGTGTGCCCTTTGGACAGGATGAAACATCCAATGTGCCCAACACGATGCTCACGATGCTCAATCGAGCCGGTGACCACTGCTACAGGAAGTTGTTTGTGTGGTTCGTACGCCTCTTCATAGTTGGTCTGGTGTATAATAATGAACAAATGATACAGGAAAGAGGGAGCAGAGACACGACACTTTGGATTTTCATCATGTCACTGTGTGATGAATTGTGGTCACTAGGACCCAGTGTTCGCTCTTGACAACCGGTAACCTAAAACCTTGGACTTGGAATGACAAATCATGAGATCTTACTAAGATAGGTGTGGCAGTCAACAAGCGTTACGGTCATGGTTGTACACTATACGGACGGACGGACCGAGGGGATGCATCAAGTTCGTAAACTTCCTTAACCTCACCAGCTTTTGGAGTGAAATTTTTAGCTAGATTGCCACGGATAGCCCACAGAACCGTACCCTTCAGAGACACGAAAAGAATATCAAGCAATGCCACAATATCGATCAAATTATCCAGAAAAGCTTCGATTTACTTGGCGGGAAAATGCTTCATACATACATATTTTGAAGAATGGTGGTGGTAGCTAGTAGCAGATCAAAGTGTTTCTCGAGTGTTGACCAATTAATAAAGACCATAACGGCGACCCGGAGGTCGTGTTTGTATCGTGATGACGCCGCCAATGTTCTGCACCTTCCTGTATGACTTTTGACTGACCGAAATTGAATATAATAGTATATTCAATAAATAAAAAGGGAGCGAAACATTATTAACTAATTTTTAAGTATGAGTCTGACATCGGGAACCGGAACAAATCATGAAGGCTGGTTTCGCCGCGAACAGAAAACATTGCTACAGGCGAGAAGGCCGTAACATTGTATCCTAATCGGGTGTTTAGATCCGTGCGAGAACTATACAGCAAAACCACCAGTCCGACACGATGATCATAGGCTATCGACCAGAAATAAGCCGACGCGAGGAAATGGTAGAAACGATATGCGCATACAGCGCAACTCCTTTACGGTTAGATATCGTCCCTCTACGTTTAGGTAAGTTAGCATGAATTGTGATCAGTGACGAAGACCGAGAGACTTGGTAAGCGAAGAGTGAAGGAAAACGATTGACTGGATGAATAAATGGCCAATCGAAGAAATTCCATTCTAATCACTTGATCTGGAAAGGTCGATTAGAGAGGCTAAGAAAGGAAATGCGGGTATTAGCGACTGGGTTTGACTGTGTAAGACATTCATCGGCTACAGGTTTTTTTACGGTCGGTAGTTTGCTGGATGGATGAGTAAGCGGGTTGGTCGCAGCGAGGTGAATCGTCGAGTATTTCAGCGTTTTGGTGGAAGTTCGTTGCCACATAGAATAAGGATACCTAGGCTTCGCTGGTTGGTAGTTACCGCACTATGCTGAGTGCAATGGCAGATATAGACTAGGAGAAAAGTACGTGATTAACAGACCAACGGGAAATGATGTATAAAAGACTAAACAGAAAGAATCAGTGGAGTAGACTTTTTCCACCTTCCAAGTTGATATCTAAAGGAGCCTGCAAGCAGCTGGATGGGGATTTTATATGACATGGCAGCGAACCCACAACAACGTCGTTTATGTCATATTTTACCAAACCAGAATGTTTGAAGGTGTGAACATTGCTAGGCTGTCTACTCCGTGTTTCTTTCGCCCTTCAAACAGGCCCACTCATCATCCAAGTTATACATTTCTATTTATTTTGCATACGGTGTGAGCTTTTCAGCAATCAGCGGTTTGTCTCACTGCATTCCGATGTACGATGACGGCGATAATTATAGCAAAATGAGAAAATTGGTTGATCTCACACGCAAGAATCCGCTCGATCTGATTAGTGAACCCATATTGTCCAGTTTTAATTTTTAATTTTTTTACAAACAGAAAGTGATTTACGGCGAAAGGAGTAAACCCCATACGATGAGGGGAAAGGTATGTGAGGGAACATTCAGGTGAGAACTATTTTTTTAATCCTGCTTTTGAAAAAAGTGAGATTATAAATGACTGGGATTACGGAGAAGCGTCCCACAATTTCGCAGTCCTGGAGAAGAAAGAAGACTGGAAGATAGAAAATCTACATCTAAAGACAGAAACTTGATATGGAGGACTACCTGGGTGGGAACAAGATGGACGAGAAAAGGACACAGATCGGAACCGTTAAAGCGAGTTTACAAGAGTAAAAAACAAAACGATGGAGGAGGTAGCAAAGCAGTTTTAGTTTCAGTTTTACAACCATCAACCATGGAAGCAACTGCCCGATGAAGACAGCGACAGCAGATGTAAAGTCAAAGAAGATTAATCGATCAACTGCATGGCCTTACGTTGAACAATCAAAAAGGTTTGGGTGTGGTCCGTCTGCCTCTTCTTGATTCGTTTGGAATCAGTTTTTCTAACCAACTCCCCTAAGTGAATTGCTAATGGTTCGTTGATCCGGTTATAGACCCGGATGTTGGTTTTTCATCCTCTCATTTTAGTAGGAAAACACCTCCGTCACGGTTGCCGCTAGTCATTAATTGTACCTGGTGAAATGGTCTCGAAACATGAACCGCAAATAGCTTCTGTTGCGAGAACGTAGATAACTTCCTTTATGTAACGGAAGTGTGTCCCTCCAAAAGGAGAGGCGTAAAGCCAACATCCACGGTCACAACCGGATCAGTGTATCAGTGACAGTTCACCTAGGAAAAATTTAAAAATTCTCCGGTTCACGTTTCTGAAGTGCCAACCGTTTCCCGAGTGTTTCCCTTAGATGGGACATATGCGTAGAAGCACTCAGGAGTTCGCTTGACGTTTTGCGTTAAGTTCGTCTCAAATTGGTACTTAGCTTCCCTTTCTATCTTCTGTGCGTAGTTGCTCGCCTATTTGTAGCTATTCCTTGACTGATTTGGCTTCCGGTTTGTCGTTCCCGGTTTCTAGCGTTAGTCGTAGGACCCCATGGTCGCTTTTCCCCCAGTGGCTCCTCAAGAGTTATAGACCTGATATCTATCAGGGTTCTCGTGATCACTAGATCCAGTATGGACGGCCCGTCATTTGCTCCAAACCGGATGGCTGTTCGCATGTGTTGTGATAACTCTAGTTGCAGCCTTCCCCCGGTACCCTGTCCCCATTACAGTTAATCTCTGTCATGTTAAAGTCCCTTACTGAGAACACTCTTCACGAAAAAGCTAAGTATAATCGCATTTGAGCAATCAACTCCTGATCTTCTGTCGCGGTAGTCACACATGACCCCTAATGGATTTCTGCCCCTTTTTACAACTCAACTGATGGCTTGTATGTTAGGAGTCGCTAGGACTGCTGTTGCCTCCCACTGACTGGTATGACTTTATCATTAACAGAACCTC